TTTGATTAACAGACATCACAGCAGCTGGGTTATTTGGTTTTTTTTGACTGCTATTACTTTAAGAGCTTCTGCTGCTGAACATGACGCCGATCTGACACACATCTCTTTACCTATTCTGACCCACCTCAGGTCTTAAAGTCTCTAGTAATGAGCTGACGAGTTGAATTGGGTGTGTTAGAGAAGGGAGAAAGTTCTGGGCTGCTTTAGGACAGTTTTGAAAACCACTGCATTTCAGAGACATGTTCTTAAATGTGACTCATATATATATATAACAAATACTTACATGCAAAGTTTTAAGGCAGCTTTAATCACCTTTTTTGGAAACTTCATGACTTAACTGATGACATAACTACAACATTGCATGCTTGTATAAGTAAATAATCTAATAGCTGTTATCTGATCTCTTCTATAGGAGTGGCCCCTCCATCCTTCGTGGCGATAAACGCAGGGACGACGTTGTACAAACTGACCACAACTGGCGAGGCCGTGTCCTGGAACTCTCTTCTGGTGTTGGGGGTTTTAGCTGTGGTCTCCATCCTGCCAGTCTGCTTTCAGAAGAAACTCCAGCAGAAACTTGAGTAGAGATCACCACCTCTGCTTGATTCAACTCAGGAATGATTCTGGTTCTCTAAACTTCTCCTTGCTTTCTTCTCTTCTTTTATGCATGTATGACAAACCCTTGTTTCATCATATAACGGGCAGCCAGTGGCTGTCAGGACTGGCCTTCCATTGTTTCAACAGTACTTTCATGGGATTTAAAATTCTGTCAGCACTTATTCCCTCTAGCTTTAAGCAATATTTTCCACATCGATGTCTTCAGCGGATTTTCATTTTCTCAATATTTTCCACAAAACAGCAATGGTTTATGTGAGATAGACTGGAAAGAGACATATTTTCACTCCCTCTGAAGTTGCTGAGCTAAAATGGAAAGTGCCAACTTCAACCTTTTTTACTGCTGATTTAATATTCAAATGTGTTTGAGAATGAGGTATTACATGCATCAGAAACCTTTTGAGGGTGAGCTTTGTGGGTTTACTGCTTTTCTTTCTTATTTCTCATGCCAGCTGAGACTGCAGTAGGGATCTGAATGGACGATCTCTTAACAGTGCCCTGTGTACTGCTGCTAACTGTAGATGATAGTGCTTAGCTGTTGTTATAGACTTAATTTTCCCCCAAAACTGATCAATATGGATGATGCCACATTAGTATTACAGATCAAGACTGTAGATTGCATATAGATAGGTTCTGCCTTAACATAAGTTACTTGAAGTAAAAGAAATGGAGCGAATATCCTGATGTCTCGCATACTGAGTCACGCATAACTTCAAACCATTTTTCATTCTTTACATTTGGACAAAATGCCAAATGATTGATTTTTTTTTAATGAAATAATTTATAATTTAAGTTGTATAATATTGTGTTTCATTTATATATTTGTTTTTAGCCACGTGACAGAGGGAAGTATTAAATTCTGGAAATATAGGAGATTTGTAACTGTTACAGTTGGTTTCGTGGACCTAGTCGAGCCAATTCACTGTAAACCATTTTAAATTCAATCTGTCTATTTAATGGAATAGTTCACCCCAAAAAATTTAAATTAGCTGAAACTTCATGCACCCTGAGGCCATCAAAGATGTAGATGAGTTTGTTTCTTTATCTGAGCAGATTTGGAGAAATTTAGCATTACATCACTTATTCACCAATGGATCCTTTGCAGTGAATGGGTGCCGTCAGAATGAGAGTTCAAACAGCTGATAAAAACATCACAATAATCTGAACGAAATCCATACGACTCCAGTCCATCAATTAATGTCTTGTGGTGGGAAAAGCTGCATGTTTATAAGAAACAAATCCACCATTAAGACATTTTTCATTTCAATCCGTTGCTTCCGGCTAAAATTATATTTTAGTCACTCTATCCATGATATTGCTTTTTTCGGTAAAAAAGTTGTCTTGTCTGAATTGGGAGAGAAATATGCACAGATGTGATGTAATGTTTTTATCAGCTGTTTGGACTCTCATTCTGACGGCACCCATTCACTGCAGAGGATCCATTAGTAAGCGAGTGATGCTAAACTTCTCCAAATCTGTTCCAATGAAGAAACAAAATCATCTACATCTTGGATGGCCTGAGGGTAAGTAATTTTCATTTGTGGGTGAACTATTCATTTAATTGACGCAACTTAGTGGGGACTTTATGCAGTTAAACTCTCTGCAGTTAAATTTGCCTTTCAGTAAAACAAAAATGACTTGCATTTCATCTAATAGCTACAATACTGTTTCCTGTTTTTTTTCTGAATATAATAGTCATTAAACCTTCAATATACTAGTTTCCTGACTGCATTAGTTTTATGTTGGGAAAGAAATCAACAATATGTGCAAGGGGATAAATAAACCATTTGCACTGAAATTTCTCTTACTTGGAAGGGTGTGATGAGGGACGGTTCTTATTTCAGATTACATTACACTGTTACCTCATTTGAATTGTTCTCTCATGTTGCTTTAAGTTATATTGGCAGTTTTTATCTGAATGTCAAACCTAACATTTAGTTTTTGTCATCTGTAAATGTCTAAATGTTCCCAGCAGCTCTTGATGTTACATGGCACTACATCTTGGATGGCCTGAGGGTAAGTAATTTTCATTTGTGGGTGAACTATTCATTTAATTGACGCAACTTAGTGGGGACTTTATGCAGTTAAACTCTCTGCAGTTAAATTTGCCTTTCAGTAAAACAAAAATGACTTGCATTTCATCTAATAGCTACAATACTGTTTCCTGTTTTTTTTCTGAATATAATAGTCATTAAACCTTCAATATACTAGTTTCCTGACTGCATTAGTTTTATGTTGGGAAAGAAATCAACAATATGTGCAAGGGGATAAATAAACCATTTGCACTGAAATTTCTCTTACTTGGAAGGGTGTGATGAGGGACGGTTCTTATTTCAGATTACATTACACTGTTACCTCATTTGAATTGTTCTCTCATGTTGCTTTAAGTTATATTGGCAGTTTTTATCTGAATGTCAAACCTAACATTTAGTTTTTGTCATCTAAATGTTGCCAGCAGCTCTTGATGTTACATGGCACTAAACAGAGAGAGCGGATGTGAGTTATTTGGTTGTTCTGCAACAGTTTCAAGCCTCAGCAAGCTGTATTTGTTCATTTGTTATGATGATGATGATGAGTAGTGAGTTGATATACCCTCTCTGACCAATTTATAATTTACCAAGTTGTACTCATCCTGATTTTTCTCTAGCAAATTTTTACAGAACTCTTATCAATAAATTAAGGTTACTGATTACAGTATTATGTACGATTTAATTGACTATTTTGTCGTGTCCTGTATTTTAAAAAATCTATTCATTCACGTCTGTCCATCTTCTTGAAACATAATATATTTATGATGACATGATTAAATACATGAGTAACATTTGCCTCTTCTGAATTAGTTTCTTCTTCATTTTGTGTGTGTGTGTGTGGCCATCTTAAAATGAAGGCTGTTTTAAATGAAGTAACCATAAAAGAAACCATATGTGTCTGCTAGCAATTTACTTGAATCAAGATATGAATTTACTTAGAGCTCTCATAATGTTTTTTTTTTTTTTTTTTTATAAGGGTCCGGGCAACCCTTGATTTTTTTAATAATGTAAATAAACCCCTCGTAACCATAAAAGAAACCATATGTGTCTGCTAGCAATTTACTTGAATCAAGATATGAATTTACTTAGAGCTCTCATTTTTTTTTTTTTTTTTTTTCATAAGGGTCCGGGCAACCTGTGATTATTGTAATAATGTAAATAGACCGCTCCATGTAGTGTAGACCCTTTGACATAAGTTATATTGAGACGTAATTATTATAATTATGCATTTTTATAGTTCTATATATAGTGACTCAGAATTAATTAAATTACACACACACACACATATACAGTCTCTCACAAAAGTGAGTACACCCCTCACTTTTCAGCAACCATTTTAGTATATCTTCTCAAGGGACAATACTATAGAAATGAAACTTGGATATATTTTAGAGTAGTCAGTGTGCTGCTTGTATAGCAGTACAGATTTACTGTCCTCTGAAAATAACTCAACATACAGCCATTATTGTCAAAATAGCTGGCAACAAAAGTGAGTACACTCTTAAGTGATAACAGCTGCATGTCGTTTAACCATGCAAAGCCACGTGTCCTATTCATCATGTTCATGTTTTTGTCTGCTTGACAGGACCATACAAATTTGTGTATCTTGTATTAGAGCAGTTAAAATTAGGTGCTTTGAGTACAATTCTCTCATACTGACCACTGGATGTTCAACATGGCACCTTTTGCAAAGAACTCTCTGAGGATTTGAGAATTAGAATTGTTGCTCTCCACAAAGATGGCCTAGGCTATAAGAAGATCTGTAACACCGTTAAACTGAGTTGCAGTACAGTGGCCAGGGTCATACAGAGGGTTTCTAAAACGAGTTCCACTCGGAACAGGCCTCACCAGGGGTCGATCAAAGAAGTTGAGTCCTCGTGCTGTGCGTCAGGTACAGAAGCTGGCTTCAAAAAACAGACGCATGAGTGCTGCCAGCATTGCTTTAGAGGTTGCAGAAGCGGGAGGTCAGCTTGTCAGTGCTCAAACCATAAGCCGCACGCTGTCGGTTTGCATGGCCGTCTACCCAGAAGGAAGCCTCTTCTAAAGCTGGCTCACAAGAAAGCCCGCAAACAGTTTGCTGAAGACAACCTGTCCAAGAGCATGAATTACTGGAACCATGTCCTGTGGTCTGATGAGACTAAGATAAACTTGTTTGGCTCAGATGGTGTCCAGCATGTGTGACGACGCGCTGGTGAGGAGTACCAAGGAAATTGTGTCTTGCCTACACCACCATGGTGGTGGTAGCATCATGGTCTGGGGCTGCATGTGTGCTGCTGGTACTGGGGAGCTGCGGTTCATTGAGGGAAACATGGATTCCAGCATGTACTGTGACATACTGAAGCAGAACATGATGCCCTCCCTTCAGAAACTGGGCCGAACGGCAGTTTTCCAACATGATAACGACCCCAAACACACCGCCAAGATGACACTGCCTTGCTGAGAAAGCTGAAGGTTATGGAGTGGCCAAGTATGTCTCCAGACCTGAACCCTATCAAGCACCTGTGGGGCATCCTCAAGCGGAAGGTGGAGAAGCGCCATGTGTCCAACATCCAGCAGCTCAGTGATGTCATTATGGAGGATCCCAGCAACAACCTGTGCAGCTCTGGTGAATTCCATGTCCATGGGGATTAAGGCAGTGCTAGATAACAATGGTGCTCACACAAAATATTGACACTTTGGACACAGTTTTGACATATTCATTTAGGGTGTACTTACTTTTGTTGCCAGTTATTTAGTGAACGATGGCTGTATGTTGAGTTATTTTTAGAGGACAGTAAATCTGTACTGCTATACAAACTGCACATTGACTAGTCTAAAGTATATCCCATTTTCATTTCTATAGTATTGTCCCTTGACAACATATATTAAAATGGTTGCTGAAATGTGAGGGGTGACTTTTGGGAGATACTGTATATATATATATATATATATATATATATATATATATATATATACATACACATTTAGGATATTTTTATAATTCAGTAGACTTATTTTTGTGAATTGTTTTGAATGTGTTGAAATTTGTTGAAAAAATTGCCTGGAATTTCGCTGTTGTGGCCCTGGATCTTGTCTACCACCCAGACCTTGTAATTTCCCCACTTATAAATGTTAAAGTCTGAATAAATATGTTATATATCAAAAGCAAAACAGCTTAAAAATCACATTTTAATTTATTTGGCATTCAAAAAGTAATTGAAAAAGTGACAAATAACTGATGTCCCCAGTACTGCTGTCATTGCCATCATACCAAACGTTTTTCATTTTGGAGATTTAAAAAAGATTAATAAATTGAATGAATGAATGAATGTACATAAGATCACTTTTCTGCCAGGACAGCCAAGCAACAAGTTGAAAATTATAATTGTTAAAAATAACGAAATTTGTCTCGATCTGAGTGAGGCAGTATCTTAATTGTTTACACAATTCGTAATTCATTTATTTTTTAGAACTTCGGTTACGTTAATTGACTGCTTGTGTTGGCAAGGCTCATCCAATTTTATTCAAAAAGGAAAAGTGTCATTACCATCACGCACAATATCTATCAGTCATTCTTGAGACGTGGGACAAAACAGGTCCAGCAAGGGTAACTGCTATTAGCTTTAAAAATAAAAATATTTTCCATTTTAAATGTCACGAGGGATTAATAATAGAATGTATTTAACACAATTATCACCTTCAATTTAATTTTCTCATTATTATACCAAATCTGTGTTTCTTAATGTCCTCTCACTACGTCTAAAACAGTGTGTCCACAGAGAAGGGTTCAATCATTCATATGCAATAAAATGGATAAAAATGTTTTTTTTTAATGATGAAAAAGAGCTTGTTTTATCAAAAGCAACACTTAATAATATCTCATATCAAAGCAAGGTTGTTATTTAATGACACGTGCATGTTTAATACTATTTTAAAGTTGCGTCCCCACTTTTTGCATTTGTCAACACCGTCAGATGTCACCACCATAAGATTTTGTGTTCCAGTGATACATCAAAATACTTCAATGTGCCTCTTGAATAAAAGCTTTATAAACAATACCATACTCACTGTTTGTTTTAATACAGTAATTGACTGATTCAATGTATTTGATAGTTAAAATGACTACAAATTCTGGTTTTCGTCACCTCCGTCAGGTGTGTCAACTCCGTCAGTTGAATATTTGGATAATATTTCATTATGATCTTTTATATTTGTTGTGGAATTGTTGGTCACATGTGAAAGTGTAATCTGTCTGCTAACACCAGAATGTGTTTTGAACTGTTACAAACATCTTGAATGCTGTTAAAGATAAAGCTGAAATTATATTACACAGTCCAAGCTAAAAAAGCACATTTTGTTAAAAAAGAGAAAAGTTGGGAGGTTGTATCAAAGCATAGCTCAGTAGCTTAGTACATATAAGATACATAAATGCAGTTTCATTTGTCTGAGTACAAGGTTTTATTTTTTTCAATTTTGCACCCTGTTTTGTCCCACTTCTCAAGAAAATCCAACTGAAGGCTGATCATGTGCTTTATTTCAGGAGACACTAAAGTTATATGCGTGTGATTTCCAAATGCATCACCAGAGGGCAACATCAAACAACACATTTCTATGCTGCTACGATTTATTATGACACATTCTTAAAACCGCAGACCTATGCCGTTATTTAAAGTTCATTGTTGGTTGACGACTTACTGTGTGACTTGACTTTCATTGCTGTTAAACAAGCGATTATGCATTGGCAGCGGAAGTGTGATGCGGCGGCGTTCGTTCGGTCTCCGGCGATGATGCTTCGGGGCTTAACGCATAACGGCATCCAGAGCAGAGCGACGCGCGTGCGCACCAGCGGGGGCTGAGGACGGACAACAGCTGTACCGGAGGCCACAATGCGACTGGCGCTCTGGGCTCCTGCCTTGGTCTGCATCGGCAATAGCTGCGCAGAGTGATCCAGAGAGCTCGTACTATGCGCTCCTCTAGACCCACACACAGAAGAGCACAAGCGGAGCCGTCTCAAAATGAGCACCGGATTCAGCTCGAGCTCCTGCCGCTTCGCGGATTATTTCGTGACCTGCGGTCTGGACACCGAGAGCGGCTTAGAACCAGACGAGCTGTCCGGTAAGACCCGGTCAAGACCGACCGAGGCTGTGTAGGACTCTGATTTCGACATGTGGTTTTATTGTATATATGCGTTTAAGTTTTAGTTATGTGATTTATCAATCATTGTGCTTTTCAAACAGCTGAAATAAGCGAAAATGTCTTTTCAGTATGGTGGACGTGATTAATATTCAACACATGAGTGTTGAGTTTTATGTTACACTTCTCAAGAAAATCCAACTGAAGGCTGATCATGTGCTTTATTTCAGGAGACACTAAAGTTATATGCGTGTGATTTCCAAATGCATCACCAGAGGGCAACATCAAACAACACATTTCTATGCTGCTACGATTTATTATGACACATTCTTAAAACCGCAGACCTATGCCGTTATTTAAAGTTCATTGTTGGTTGACGACTTACTGTGTGACTTGACTTTCATTGCTGTTAAACAAGCGATTATGCATTGGCAGCGGAAGTGTGATGCGGCGGCGTTCGTTCGGTCTCCGGCGATGATGCTTCGGGGCTTAACGCATAACGGCATCCAGAGCAGAGCGACGCGCGTGCGCACCAGCGGGGGCTGAGGACGGACAACAGCTGTACCGGAGGCCACAATGCGACTGGCGCTCTGGGCTCCTGCCTTGGTCTGCATCGGCAATAGCTGCGCAGAGTGATCCAGAGAGCTCGTACTATGCGCTCCTCTAGACCCACACACAGAAGAGCACAAGCGGAGCCGTCTCAAAATGAGCACCGGATTCAGCTCGAGCTCCTGCCGCTTCGCGGATTATTTCGTGACCTGCGGTCTGGACACCGAGAGCGGCTTAGAACCAGACGAGCTGTCCGGTAAGACCCGGTCAAGACCGACCGAGGCTGTGTAGGACTCTGATTTCGACATGTGGTTTTATTGTATATATGCGTTTAAGTTTTAGTTATGTGATTTATCAATCATTGTGCTTTTCAAACAGCTGAAATAAGCGAAAATGTCTTTTCAGTATGGTGGACGTGATTAATATTCAACACATGAGTGTTGAGTTTTATGTTATATTGTATTCACAGACACTGGACGTGCAAACAAAAATAGTTAGTTGACCTTACAAGACCCTTTGATTTGTCTTAAAGGAAACCTGTCAACATTGTACTGACTTTTATCGGGAAAAGCTTATTCAAATTAATTAAACTCAGCAGAAGATAAAGCATATGTCATTTAAATAGCTCCTCCATTTATATCCTCTATACAAGCATAAAACATAACCCAAAGCAGGGAGACTGGCATTATTTACTTACCGTCTAATGACTGAAGATCAGTAGCAGTGAAAGTCATATAATGAATCTATATTCTGTAATAGTCGTCATATAATCAAGTGATTTAATTTATATTTGTGTTGACTTCACGTGCACAGCAGGATTGATTCCTTCATAAACAGTTCATGTTCAGCATTCATCAAAACAAGGTTTTATTATGATATTATTCCAACCTAATATCTTATTGATCTACTCCTTCATCTCCAGCATTCACTCACTGTGATTGGACGTAACATAGTTGTCTAAATATATTTAAACAGTCCATTTCTTTACTCCGGCTGTACCGTGTTTTAGTGTTTGCAGTGGAGCATTTACTCTTATCGTCTCATCTAAAAGGCTTTTTGAACCAGCACGTGAAGTCTTGTTGGGTAAGAGTGCAGAGTTCCTGTGGTTTCAGGCTTCCTCAACTTGCATTTTCTGTTTTGGTAGATTTCCACTGCTGTAATCAGAGCCTCAGTTTCCTCTCAAATGTTCATGGATTTTTGTGAAAAAAGGCTGTTTCATTTCACAAGGATTCTGTTGCGTCAGAGTCAGTATGTTTGTGTTGCTCTGTGAACTGCACCCGTGGTGTTTTAAATCATATGTAAAAGGTGAAACACTGTGAATCTGCCACTGCATTTTGTTTGTTGAATTTAAGTTCCAGGAAATTCTGTTTATGGATGCAGAGCACAACGAGGGTAGTTTCTGCTGGTCAGGATTGGGCCAGTGCTTTGGATTTGTTCTTGGCTTACCAATTTTTCATTTGCCCCTCTACATAAAATTATATATATATATATATACAGGTGCATCTCAATAAATTAGAATGTCGTGGAAAAGTTAATTTATTTCGGTAATTCAACTCAAATTGTGAAACTCGTGTATTAAATAAATTCAATGCACAGTACAGACTGAAGTAGTTTAAGTCTTTGGTTCTTTTGTGATGATTTTGGCTTACATTTAACAAAAACCCACCAATTCAATTCAAATCTCAACAAATTAGAATACTTCATAAGACCAATAAAAAAATTTTTTTAGTGAATTGTTGGCCTTCTGGAAAGTATGTTCATCTACTGTACATGTACTCAATACTTGGTAGG